GGAACTGACACTCCCTGTTTTGATTATATACATAGGACAAGTCACAAGAAATCATTTTCTCTATATGGAAAAATAATTCAGTAATGCTACAATCTACCCTGAACAGCAATGGTATATTTTTTAATTCCTAATGGTCAATTGGTGAACTACCTGACAATATATGTCAAGCATGGCTGTTCATAATAGTAACTGATTCATGGAGCCAAAGGTTCAGTGGAAACTTGAAGAGCATATCAGAAGTTTTCTTGCAGTATGGTATAGTCTTTGATTTTGACAAGGAGGAAGAAAATTGCAGGACACATCCCTGAGAAGTGTTTAATCAAGTTGTCTTCAGATTATCAAGTTACTTTGATCATTTCCTAAAGAAAACTCAAGAATTCTGTGAGAACTGAGGGGTTCAAAATGCTCAGAAAGTTCAATGATTCAAATCCCACTAGCATTGTTTATGGCTTATATAAGAAATTTTGTACTACAGAAATAGGTTGGCCTCTGTCTATATAAAAAGCAGTTTTGATACATCTTTTCTTCTTATTTCAGATCAAATCTTTAATAGCAACCCAGGGATATAAATAATGACCTGTCCATTTGTGTTGAGAAAACACTGACAAACTACTGGTTAATCATTTCATTGCTGAGTTCAAGAGCAATCACAAGAATAACATCAGTAAATGCAATATCGTCTACCGACTCTGCCATTCATATCAATGAACAATGAAGACCTTCTTCTAGAATCCAGCCTGTTAGCAATTATTGCCTTTTATCTCCATCCTTGTCCATTTAAAGAATAAAATGCTGAATATATGAGATCTGTAAAGATCTGTAACATTACCTGCTGATTGGTCCACAATACTGCCTACTGGTTGATACAATAAGATTCAGAAACTCCTAGAAGCTTTGTTCAATGACAAATAATTACAGAGCTTTATAATTATTAATAAGACTATTGGTTATTGTACAATAACATAGATGGCCCTCTTCCTAGGGACATATATGAAAGTCTCAATATTTTCTGGTTTTAGATGTTATGTTTTTCCCTTGGTACTGAATTCAAACCAAACAGAAATAAGAATTCTCACTCAGATCAATACAGGTTACTATATGCTTGACAAATCTGAGCTCACATTTAATCATTATGGAAATGCAAATCAAAACAACTCTGAGATTCCATCTTATACCAGTCAGAGTGGCTAGCAACAAGAGTTAAAAAGAAAAGTGACACATCTCTTCAAAGAAAGGCAACTGTTGAGATGTGTGGAGAAAACGAACTTTTCTACATTATTTTTGAGAATGTAAACTAGTACAATTATTATGGAAATTAATATGGAGATTGTTCAAAAAGTGAAAAATAGAAAATTAATTTGATTCTATTCAGGGTAAATTCCCAAAAGCTAGATATCATACTGTAATAATATATACTCACCCATGTTTACAACAATGCAATTCATAATAGCTAAGCTCTGAAACAACCTTGATACCCACCAGTGGAAAAACAGACAAAATAGTATAGGTAGGTAAAGAATAGATAGAAAGATAGATAGTATAGCCATGCAAAATAGAATTTTATTCAGATATAAAGAATCAAATCATGTCATTTGTAGGAAACTTGATGGATCTTAACACTATAATGTTAAGTAAAAAAAAAAAAGTCAGATTCAGAAAGTTAAACATAGCGTGGTTTCTCATACAAGAAACCTAAAATGTGAATAAATTAAAGAGTTTTTTTAAAAAAGGAGAGATGATAGGAAACAGGGAGGCAGACTCTTTGGAAATAGGAAAGAGGATCAGATGTTGGGAGGAATGTAATATTCCCCAAAATGAATGTAAATTTTATGTACTGCAAACATATACCAATAAAAACTTTCAAAAAAACAATAATCATCAATAATCAAGATAGAACACCTATAAAATATACTATAAGAAAAGATATGTGAATGTGCAAAAAAGAAAGAAAATACACATAAATGACAAGTTTTCCAGTAAGTCTGCTGTTAACGCCATCATGAAGAAAAAGACTATGTGGGTGATAAAGAGTTGGGGTGTATTTCCCGGGAAACTGGGTGATAATAAGTAGACATTAACCAGGAAAACTGTCTTTCAAGAATTCACTCAAATTCTGAGCTACCAAAATAAAATCTTGCGAAGAAAATAAGAAACTTAAAAACTATCAACAATGAACAAATAAATTTGAGGAAATTATCTAATAATTAGGAAAATTTGTCAGGCTTATACGGAGACATATAATTTGGAGTGTATTGAGCATATGCAATCCCAGCACTGTGAAGTGACCAAAGGGCAGCCATCCTTTAGGGAAGCCCCCAGCTTCTGGGAGTACAGGCAGTCCTCATGGAGGAATTTCCTCTGAACCCAATATCAAAGAAATAAAGGAATCAGAAACAACTAACTTACATGGTTAGGCAAGAGCTGAAAGCCTACACTTTACAGATTAGTTTTTGTTTTGTTTTGGCTCAGTTTGGTTTGGTTTTTTGAGAAGAAGTTTAGAAACCAAGGACTGAACTACTGTATGGGAAGATTCTTGACCAATATGACTAATTAAAATGTGAATAGCAAAATAAATGAATGCTTATGGCTTCACTTAATCAATAGCATAAATATGGGAAAAATATAATTTGTGTACTAAACAAGATAGATATGTTTCAATTTTTAACAAGTAAAAAGAAAAAAAATACTGCCATTATGAAAAGCAGGAAATGGGCAAGCAAGCAAATGGTACTCAGATGTGATGGGTTCCAAAGTGTGAATTAAAGCAAAAGAGTACTGAATGAAGTTTAAAAAGTGAGAAAGTTCTTAGGAATGAAATTAATATCTGCCACTGAATTATTATTTAAAATTAAATGCAACCATAATTTCCCCCAAATCAGAAAATTATGTTTCTGAAGAAAAACAATTTTGATTCACTCTATAATTTCGAAATCCTATAATTCATTGAAATTCAGTGATTTATTTAATTACATGATAAATCCACTATCATTATTTGGCTACCCATTACATGCTACTATGTTAGATTCTTGGTTAATACAAATATAATTCTGAAATGCCTCTGTTATCTCAAAACTTCACCAAAGCCAGAGTCATAAATAGCAAACTAAAACAATATATAAATTATAATGATTTTCATAATAAACATATCAAGTTTACTCAATGTGAAAGAACTTTGCAAAACAGTATCCCTTTATTATCCTTTTTAAAATAATAGTATTTTAGGGTCGGCTGTATAGCTCAGGTTAATAAGCCCTTGCTTAGATAAGTGCAGGGGCCAGGGTTTGATCCCTGGCATGACATGCCATGCTGGCCTCACCCCAGGGTGTGCTGAGCCAGCAAAGGAGTCTGGGCATAATGGCACATGCCTGTAATCCCAGAACTAGGGAGGCAGAAATCAGGAGGATCACTACGGGTCTGAGCTGCATACTGAGACCCTACACACACACACACACACACACACAAAAAAAAAAAAAAAAAACCCTTAAAAATAATAGTAGTTTAGTTCCTCTCCCATAAACATAGTAGTAAAATTACCTTTAGTTTTTTTTTTTTGTTTGTTTTGTTTTGTTTTTTTTGTTTTTTTTTTTTTTGGTTTTTTTTTTTTTTGCGGAACCGGGGATTGAACTCAGGCCCTTGTGCTTGCCAGGGAAGCGCTTATTCCACTGAGCCATCTCCCCAGCCCCACCTTTAGTTTTGAGAAGAAAAATAGACACTTTTTGATAGAATGTAAGAGAGTTGTGAAGGACATATAATATTTCAGGACATGAATGGAGAGAAACTCTCTGGATGGGTAAAGAACAAGAAACAGATGCATGGAGAAAATGGAGAAGCAAAGACGTACTGTTCTATGGGGAAAACAATAAAAAATCAAGAGGAAATAAACTTCATATACATTTGTTTTGCCCTTCCTTCTTTTTTTATTTTCTCCATAACAGCTGTATTAGTTGATACATTGTGTCAACTTGAAAAGTTCAGAAGTTTAATTAAGTGACTCAGCAGAGAGCCTGGATTCTTAGTTTGTAAACATCCTCATCCTGTGCAAGAGGAGGGCATGGATGCTGTGTGAGTTCTATACCCCCAACCCAGGGGAGCTTATGTATAAGGAGGAGACAGAGGTTGGCTAGAAGCTGCAGCTGCTGCCCTTCCCTTTGCTCTTTGCTGTTTTCTGCTGCCATGAATTGATTCTCTCTGCCATCAACCACTCTGCCTGGGAGCCAGCCAAGTACAGACTGAAACCTCCACAAACTGTGAGCTAAATAAACCTTTCCTTCCTTAATTTGGGGTGTTGGGTATTTTGTCCCAGCAATGAGTGAAAAGTAACTGCGACAAAGACCATTGTTGAATTCTTATCATCTTGTTTAGTGCAATTCTGTATCATTGCTAATGTTCTTTTCACTACTTCTTATTCTCTTGAAGCGTTTTAAGAAATGAGCAAATAAAGACACCTCACAATTTTTTCTTTGCAAGTTATATACGAATCACGAATCAACAGACTCTGAGTTTCCATAGAAAATTTTCATCTAAAACATATTCCTTCTAGAAAGAAAGAAGGGGAAAATACATATTTATGTATATACATAAGATAGCTTGGATAATTGTACTGTTGATTTCTACTAGTGTATGGAAAGGAGCAGTTAATGCTTAAGTGCTTAAAATTATCTTTCTTCTTTTAATTTCTCATAGCTTTTTTAAAATCAATTTTGCATGCTTATATCTGGTAATCTAAACAACTAATTTGAAGACAGAATTATGGAATATAACAATCATTTTGGAATATCTATTATTTTGTTTAGTGAAATTCCATCTCATTTCTTTATTTTTATAATTTTTATTCTCTTTAGAAATGAAAAATAAGCAAAAAACATTCTTTCTAGTCAGTTCAACTGAAGTTAAAGTTATGCCTCACTTCTAAATTTTAACTTTCTGTTAAACACTATTACTATATATAAACAAGGACACCTAAATGTGTTAGCCTTCAAAATGAAAAGCAATCTACTTACAATTATCTGATATTTTTGATGAGAAGAATTCCAAAAGATTTAAAATACTTGTTGTCTGCAATTCTGGCTGTTCTGATTTGTCAATAAGTAGAATATTTTTGTGAGGACATTCACACCCACAGAGACCAACAAAGGCTGTTTTCCGCAAATCAGATGTGGCTGCATATAAACAGATCTCCGCAATGGTCGTTGTGTACATATGAACTATATTCCAGGCCCAGGAAAGATCTTCTCCTGTGGGCCATTTCTCCTGAAATAAGAAAATAGGCATTATGCAATCAAAGTACACTTTGTCATCATTAAGAACTATCTGGCACATGTAAAACAGAAATATCTTCAAATTTTCGGGAATTGTTAGAAGATCAAAATAAACTGACATTCCTAAATATTTTTAAACTTATTTAAAAACCAATTTTGCCTTAGACTGGTTGCAGTAAGCATAGTTCCAAAAGGAAAAGACTTGAATTTATTTGGAATTCAATGGAATATAAATTAATCCAGTGAAATGCATTACATATTATACTAGAAAATAATCCTTTCTAGACTATAGTATTTTCATATATTTTTCATAGACATGCAAAAATATTTATGTCTTTGAAAGAAGAATTTGTATCCCAAGAATCTTGAAACAACTCAATAATTCAATTCTGGCAATTTATTCCAAAGACAGACATACATGGCAAAGAGATTTTATGTATAAGAATACCACAACAAAATGTAATTAATTATCAACAATTAAAAACAGATTTAATGATTAAAATTAGATGAAAAATTAAAGTATCTCATACTAAATATAAACTTTAATAAGAAGTCAGAAAATGGAACATATTCATGATAAATAGTAAATGTTATGGCATATGAATGTTTATATTTATATTAAAATAAAATAATTATAATGAAGTTTTGCACATCCTATTTGCCAATAGTCATACTATTTAAATAAAAGCAAAAATTGAATGTTTCTATTGAGGTCATTTTTTTCATTTAAATTAGCAAGGCTGTTGTTACCTGTTTCTCAACAGCCATAATGCTTAAAAGAAAATCTCTCATGAGGTCCATTAAAGTTTTCAAGCAGGTCATATTTAATTTGGCAGCTTCTCCAAGGACCAACAAGGCCAGTACTAAATCCAACCTGAATGATGAAGACATCACAAACACTTAATGAAAACTAATAATAATAAACAGTTTTTAATGAAAATGTAATAGCTCAGAGGAAATTAATATTTGGAATAGCAGGTACATTTATTTTCAATAAAGATTGGAATAGGTTGACACTGATTAAGAAAAAAAATCTACAAGGAAGATCAACATTTTGTCAAGATATTTGTGTTCAGAATAATGCTCTGAAAAACACTGGGAGAACCAAATCCTACAAATAATCACATTTCTTCATAGATCCTTCCTGACAGAACCCGCAGGGGCTCTGGTCCTACAGAGTGCCCTCACACTCCACAAGAGGTTTGTGTTTTAATTTACTGCAACTGATACCAAGGGATGAATTTAAAGAGTGTTTTCTTCTCAAAATAATGAACAAATAAAAAAATAAAATGGTTCTACCAGGTGTTCCAAAAGTTTGGTGGTATTTGAATTTACAAAAAGTGCAATTTCTCAAAGTAAAATTAGTTTCAAATCAATAAAATACTGTTACCTATTTTTATGAAAGTATTATATAATAACTGAAATTATACCAGAACAACTGTAAGTGTATATATATATTCTGAAATTTTCAGGAAAATTATACAGTAAGTGCTATTTTTACCCAAGTGAAAGAGACATAATTCAAAACAGAACTGATAAAAATGCAAATGTAAAAATGCCTCTGCCCAAAGCTGCTTAATTGCCTTGATTTATAGATCACTAATAAACTTAAAAGTTAGTATATTTCACAGGTGTATTTAATTTTCACAACTATAATATGTCAGACTACTACAGTCTAATTCAACACCAATTTCAAAAGGGAGCATCTCTCATCATAAGAATTTAAAACAATACTACCTATTTGTGTAGCACTAGAAGTGGAACAGCCCTCTTATAATAGGATGGAGGACTGGCAAGATAGCTCAGTGGACTAAGCGCCTGCTTTGGCAAGTGCAGGGACCAGGATTCAATCCCAGGTCCTGTGTGCCACGCTGGCCCTGCCCCTGGGGCATGCTGACTGGGGACCGAGTCTGGGCATGGTGGTGCACGCCTGTAATCTCAGCACTGGGGAGACTGAAAACAGGAGGATCACTATGAGTCCCAGCTGCGTAGTGAGACCCTGTACCAAATACACAAATGAAAAAATATATAAAAATAAAGATAGAAATGACAAAAAGGAAAAGAAAATGACCAAAAGAAAGCCAGAAAGAGCTCAAAGCTTGAAGAAAGCATCTGCATTCGTACAACCCTGTTTTCCACATGCAATTTTAAACCTTTATTTGGTTAGGCAAGTTTAACTGAGTTGCTGGAACACGCAGATGGCCAAATCTTAACAGATACACTTAGCATATGCTTATGATCATAAATTTTAGAGCCAAAAAATTAAGACCTAATCCTAGCTCAGCCTATATATGTATGTGTGTGTGCGTCTGTGTAGTGTGATGTAAGACCGTAGTTCAGTCTTAATTTACTTACATATATAAAGCCAATATAGGGAAATCTATTTTTAAAAGAATTGAATAAAATATAAAATGACTAGGCTTAAAATGCTGAACTGAATTTCCTTACAAAAAGACTATCTCTTCAAAGAAAGAAAAGCATGAACTTGACAACTCTTTCTCTATAAAATTTTGGAATAACAGAAAAAAGAGGTCCGTGGAACACCAAGACATACAGTGATTCATTCCCAAAGACTTATTATAACTCAACAAAATAGCAAAGCAAGGAGGAGGAAAGTCACCAAATTGTTAAGGCATACTTTCACAGGATTATACTTTAGATTTGGCTTCCACTGTTCTATTTTAAATTTAAAAATTTTGGGGCTGAGAAGATAGCTCGGTGGTCTTAGCGCCAGGCTGGCAAGTGCAAGGACCCAAGTTTGATCCCTGGTACACATGCCGAGTAGGCCACACCAAGCCATCCACCAAAACCTGTCATGGTGGCACATGCCTGTAATCCCAGTGCTGGGAAGGCTGAGACAAGAGGACCACTATGAGTTCAAACTGTATAGTGAGACCCTGAACCAAGGAAACGAATACATATTTTTAAATAAATAAATTTTATTTAAAATTTTATCTAACCTATAGCACTCTTATTAAAACGTGGATTCAAATCAATTCATCCAGGCTGGGGAGATGGCTCAGTGGAATAAGTGCTGCCCTGACAAGCGCAATGGCTGGAGTTCAATCCCTGGTTCCACCAACATAAAAAAAAAGAAAGAAAATAACTCATCAGCATTAGCCACCTATGGTAGAAGAGAAAGGATTCACTAGAAACACTACTGTCTATCAGTGTTGTTGACTACATTTTTTATAAGCAAAATTATCTCTGCTAAAAGTAGAATCAAAATATCAATGAAATAGAGTTTGTTAAAAATCAAAACTCAAAATCAATGTACACAGAGAGAATTCAAGTTGCATTAGACTAGAAACTTTAACCCTGCAGCATCTTCTTTGTGAACTTGTTAGAATGTAAAAGGCTCATCTATTGGTACACTGACTTGGCTTCACAAGGCCATCAAGTCATGCACCGTACGTAGCTCATAGCTGCTATTGAGTCTACCTAATTGTGTAACCAGAGCCAGAGCTCACTGGCTTTTTAAAACAGGTAGCTAGTGTGTACACGCGCGCACACACACACACACACACACACCTTTTTAAATTAGAACATCAGACTCCAAAAGTTTTCTTTATTCCTCTATACCTATTTCCTCAATGAGCAGAATGTCACTTTAAAAAAAAAAAAGCAAAATGAACCCAATTAGTCACAAATTTAATGTTGGCATCTATAAAAATGCATGGATTTTGGCCACCATAATTTAAGAAAAACACTAAGCACTGGGAGGCAGAAGTTGGGAACACATGTGGACATGGACTGGTCAACAGGAAGCCCTCAGAAAGTACAGAGCAACAGCTGTCACTGCTGTGCACCACTCCAGAGGGGACTCCGTTAAGCTGAGCAGGGTGCTCCTGCCTCCTGATATGTTCAAGAGGTCAAGAGCAGATGCCAGCTACCTACCACAGGACAAACGAGCCCCTAAAGGAAAATCCTATAGTGAAAAGTAATCAGGAAAGGAAGAGAACAGTTGACTTCGAATACTACACAGTACAATAAGTTAGGGCTTAGATAGCAACATTTGAAGATTTGAAGTGCGAATTTTTAAAACTGTGATCCTAGAAATGTACCAGGCAAAATGCACCTATTGTTTTTAAAAGAAGAATGAGTAGATGTTATATTACACTGAGGACTGTCTATATTCAAGGTCTTGCCTAATAAAACAGGTAACCAATGTCTTTTCTCAGAAATGTATACAAGACAACCAAAAACATTAGTAGTATTATTTAATGGTTTAGAAAGAGGAAATTCTAATTGTAAATGCCTGCAAGTGAGTCTGGAAAAATAAATAAATATTTAAGCACAAGATAGTGTATTTTAAATAATTAAAATGCTACAAGGAATTAAAGTTGTTTTTTGGTTGGGGGGGCGGTTGTTACAGGGTCTCACTACACAGTTCAGACTCGTAGTGATCCTTCTGTCTAAAACTCCCCAGCAGTGGGATTACCGGTGCGCACCACCATGCCTAGTCTCAGGGCCTGCACAGTGCGCCCAGGCTCTGGGGCCAGCACAGCCTGCAGTGCTGGGGTTCGACCTCAGGTCCTTGCACTTGCCAGACAGGTGCTTAGACCATTGAGCTTTCTCCCCAGCCCTCAAATTCATATAAATAGACTAAGAAAGGAACGATCACATAAACAGGAGTTTCCATTTTCAAGGCATGTGGAGAAAGTAGTCAGTATTCTTTCTTAAATTTGATCGTTAAAAAAATGATTTGAAATAATTTATCTCTTTCCAGTGTCTATTTTTTGCTACCTGGAAGAGACAGACAACGTGAAACATCTAGTCTTGAGCCTGACTCTTGAAAAGATCCTTTCTCTGTCTTATTAGAATTCCTTTCTGAAGCTCAGGGAAGCCAGTGAGAGAGAAGGAAGAGACGGAGTGAGATGGCAGTGACTTTGTTTCACCAAGGAAGACATGGATCACTAAGGGACTGTCCCTGCAGTCAGCCCATTAAGCACTGCAGGCTGTCAGGTAACAATCTTAGTAAGAGGACCTTTCAGCTATTCTCGTTCTCTTTTGTCTAATATTGAGGTAAGTTTTGAGACATTAATTGGGATGTTAACTTCTATGCCATATAACAAATGCTCATTAGGCAAATTGAAGGTGTACAAAGATACAATTACATTTAAGTTGTAATCCTGGCAGCAGATGGGATGACTCAGACTACTGATGGAAAAACTCAAGGCAAGGACAGCAGTTAAAAATCTACAGTGGTCATGAAGCAACAGGGATCCCAGCCCATGCTGTGGCAGTGGGAACAGGAAATGGCCAAGAAGTTCTAAAGTGTGGTCAGTTATCTGCAACACTGTCAAAAGAATGGGTTACATGGAGAAAATGATATGGGACAGATAAGGTATCTAATTTTATTATCTTAAGCAGAAGACATCGAGGAAGAAATTCAGCAGGCGAGATGTCTGAAAGAGGGAAAATTGGTTCAAATCTGACCTAGCAGAATATACAGTATCTTGAAAAGAATTAAAGTGTAAAAAGTGCCTTTGTATTATGTGTCATATTTAAATTTCTCACAAACTCTTTCTGTATAACTGCTACACAGGCTGATTTATGGGGGTAAGTAATTTGTTCAAAATTACAGTGGTAGCTAAGAATAGGTCTAAAACTCATGCTTTCTGCTATAGGGTTGAAGCTTTTTTCACTAAATGATGACGCAGCAGAGCATAATCTGCGCATTTATCCTTCATAGAACCAAGTGGTTGTAAGTGGCACAGAGGATTAAGATATCAATAAGAAATTCAGGATGCATGAAGAGGAAAGAAGAAAAATTAATTTTAAAAAAGAGGAAACAAGAAAATGAATGAAGAGACATCTCAACTCGTGAGCAACGAAAGAGGACTCCTAATGCAAATTTTTATTTGAATACTT